TGCCAGTTTTACTGGCATTTGCCAGTGCCAGTAGCCAATCAAAGTAAGGTGGGGCGGGGGGAAGCAGGGCCTGGTTGTTCATCTAGGGGTGGAGGGGCATGGAACTAAAAACAGCCCCTGGACCAGAGGGGGAAGTGTCCCCATGACCCCCATGGATGCTTCTACTTCCCCTGATCCTGCAAGCAGACCCCACCAGCTCCCATGGGCCCCACTAGCCCCTGCCCCCCCCATCCCTCCAAGCCCCCCATGGGCTGTGTTTGCTGCCCCTGATCTCTTTCAAGGCCCCTCTCCATCCCAATTTACCTGGGTATCTAAATGCCCTTTAACATCCCCAGATGTCTGTACACACCCTTTTAGACCAGCTTCTAAAAAAGCTGAAAGGTTTGCCAAATATTGCTCCCTTGTGCTATATCACTTTGAAATGTATCATTTTAGTGAAAAATGATCAGAAATAAATATGCCAAGGGATTAACTTGGTACTGCTTGGTTTATGATGTTGCCAGAGATTGATGATGGAATGCCTTGAGATTTAAATGCAGTTTTGTATGTTAATACGTGTTTAACAGTGTACAGTTACAACACATCTTAAGTCTTTTAGTCTTAGATAGGCTTCAATTAACTAGTAGTAACTTCCTTAAGAATAAAATTTTCAGTACTAGTTTTAACATCCACATAGTCTGCAGCATCCAGAATCGCCACGGGCAATATCCAGGTGTTGCTTTTGAAATCAAATCTTTATCCAAATCTTGAATATAAAATTTTCTTTTGACTTGGTGCATAGCAATCTTGTTACAAGCTTGTGGAAGTCACTTTTTAAAATAAAGAATGTTGTTCTGGGTATTACCTGAGGAAATGAATTAGACTGCATTTCCTCATCCTGGTAGGCTCATCCCTAATGTAATCAATATATTAATATTCAGCAGAGTTACTGTCTTGTTTTGCAATTATGTAATAATGACTTAATTGCAGCAGTTTGTAATCTTAATTTTTTTTTTAAGTATTTTAGTCAACGATTAGTTTCTGATGAGCACTGGTATAACTATCAAGCTACTGTACTAAAATCTTCTTTGAGTGAGAACAAGGATTTTTCTTATTCTTTGGTTTCCTCTAGCAGTGAAAGGACTATGGATCTGATACTGGAAATGTGCAATACTAATTCCATCCACTGGTGTGGAGTTTCAGGAAGGCAACTTGGAAAGCTACATCCCAGTTCATCCCTCCATCTTGCACTTACACTATTGTCTTCAGTGCAGGGACTACAAGTAAGACCTCACTGTTAGCAATACAGTCTTGTTTATAGAGTGGATATTTTATAACAGCAGTTCATAAGTTTATTCTTACTAATAACATTTGTACAAATCTTTTTTTCTATTAGAGTGTTTCTGGCTTAAGACTGACAGATACGTTTTTGAAGAGAACATACGAGTATGATGATATTGCACAAGTCTGTGTAGTTTCTTCAGAAGTAAAAGAAGAAAGCTGAAGAAAAATCCTGTAATACTTCTGCTCTGGTTTTAGACCAACTTCCTACATCTTACAGCTAAATGGCAGGCAGCCAAATGTTAAAAAAAAAAAAGAACTGTACCTATCCATAAACAATGCAAGCATGTTTATTTAACTTTCTTCTCCAAGCATTTTTGGAATATTTTAAAATATGTTTTAAACAGATAATTATATATATATTTTATCTATTATTTGACAATAAAGCCTTTAAAATAATGTCTAAGAATGGAGCTTTGTCAAGTTATAATGCAATACTATATGGAATGTTCAGCCAGTTTAAAGATTACAAGTTACCAATGTTTTGAAACGGCTGCTATGACTGTAGAACTGTAGCCTGTAGCAATGACTGTCAGCCTACTTGAACCTGGAGAGACTAGTCCCTAAGTGATACATTCTTGTAGTGCGTCTCACTTTTGCCCCTCTCTCTCAATGGCATACCTTGGACTGACTGCACTATGCAGGTTCTCTTCTTTTTGCTTACTCACACATGCTTGTTCATCACTTTTCCCTAGACTTCTTGCTTACTGTGATACTTCATATTCCCCAATCAGTAACTCTGATCTTTATTACAGAATATATACATTAATTTGAAAAAATTAGTTGCTGAATGTTTGATAATTACACTGGCCCTCCCCCTTCTCACTCACTCCCTGCCTCTTCCCCCCCCATTATTTTTGCTGATATTTTTACATAGGTAAATGTGGAACTGTTGCAGTTGTGGGTCTTTACAGCCTTAACAAAGGCTTGCATTTACCATTCTTAGTCAAGCATTCATAAATTAGGAAATGCCAGACTAAGATGGTCAGTGTCTCATTAAATAAATGATGAAATGCCTTTATTTAAATGCAGTTTAAATTAAAATTGCCCCCTCCCCCTTAAATCCTCTAGTACATCATGATACAATTCTTAACTTTGTGGGCCTGTGTCTTACTCAGTATTCTGAAATAACACTCACTAACAAACTTCTATTCAATATTTTTTTCTCCTTCACTGTTCTATGTGGAATCTTCTGGTATTTTTAGCCTTTTTAAACTCTAGCACGTGTCTTAACTATGCACATAGTATGACCTGAGACACAAAGTTGGACAAGTTTGGGTATGTTTTCAGAGGTGTCACAAAGCACATCCTGGCACAGTAGTAGTCACACCACCAAATCCAGTCTCTTTAGCAAAGCAAGAATAGAATTTATTAAGGCCACTAGAATTTACCAAAGTTCAGTTAACATTTAAGATTTTTTTTTTTTTTTTTAATCTTTTGTTCTCACAGAGGCTGAACTTTTTTCAGAAAACTTCAGCCAAAGGAAGGTCCCCAGCATGGAAGGCTTCAGCCCAAACTGGATGAGTTGAGCAATATTAAAAGCAAGGTCTTATAATGAGACATGGCAGGGAACCTTATAGCAGCTGTTGTGAGCAGACTTGCCTATAGTAAAAAACAGGGGGAAGGTTATGCTCACTAACTTGTCACACTTCTCAACAATGTAGATACTTAGAAAATTTGTCAAAATTGCTAGTCATACTTAATGAGTAAACTCACGTTGAATGTTCAGCTCCTCTTAAGTCAAACTACTTGCCCAATGAGATAAGCCAGCAGTTCCCAAACTCTTGACAGATTACGAACCACCAATTTTAAAACGATACATTTTGTAAATGTTATATTTCAACTGTAAGTACCACCAGCAAATTTTTCTCATATAAAGTAATTCTAATAAATCTGTTAATGCGTACCACTGGTGGTATGCATACCACATACTGGGAACTGCTGAGTTAGGCTATAGCATTTTAGGACCAGGCCACTTCACCAGTCGCTTTGCTGCTTAGTGCTAAAAGTATTTTTTTATTCTAAGAAGTCTCAAAGAAAGCAAGTACTATCTTTTTAGTACTGCTTAAAATCCTTGGCTGCTTGCAGACTTCACAAAAAAAAGTGCTTTACCAGAACCAGCAGCATGTTACTTCAACCTGGCTCTGCAGCATCTGTATAGATCGGGTACTTCAGTGGGGCTTTGACTCTTTTAGCTAAAGCTGATTTAATCAGCTGTTAGATGAAAGTTCCAAAAAGCCCCACTAAAGCATCTGATCTATGCAGATGTTGAGCAAGCCAAGTCCAACTAATGCGCTGCCTCTTCTGGGCATGCGCTCGGCTTGGTGTAGGAGAGTGCAGAATTTAGTGCCATTTGTGTGTGCTTTGTTTTTGTTTTTTTAACATCTGCAAGCAGCCATTGCGATTAGGCCAATCTATGCAAGAGGTACTATAGTATAATGAATGAAAGGGAAATGCTATCTACTCTAAGTTTCTTGTACCAATTTTTAGCAAATCGTATAGTTAGTTGTTTGTCTCGTCTGGAAAATGCTTGGAAGGTTAGGTCCAGCCACTTCCTTTGAGAAGTTGCCTTGCCTGGTTCAGCGGTCAAATCAGAAAACAACTCCATTGACATGGCCTTTTTCCCCCTAAGCCTGCTGAATTAAGTAAATGGCATTTCACTTCCAAATAATGGTGATTTTTACATTTGTCCTTTAAAATTACTTCTTGTATGAACCAGTGTCAAACGTACCTGCATTTTTTTTGTAATGTGACTTTGTTGGTCAGAATGAAAGGCCACAACTTCTATACAAAAGTAGTCACTTATTTTCTAAAAATGCTGTTAAAACTAAAACTTTGATCTCCTTGTAACAAGATTCTCATGCTCTTTACATTCAGCCTGTAGCTGAAACTATGGTTCCAGTCCTAGTCTCTTTGCAAATTACCTCCTTTCCATAGGACATCCAGAGCCAAGAATGTAAGGTTGCCTTGCACTTCTTTTTTTTTCCTCCCATTCAAATAACTAGCTTGTAGGTCCAACTACTTGAGCTAGGGTTAAAAAAAACCATACACAATACCCTATATGTCCCTTCTAAGCTGCAGTTGAATACAGAATAGAATGCCCTCATGTAATGCAATGTCTAGTCTGTCAAGCTAAACAGAGATGGGTAAATCAAAACTATACAGAAAAACTGAAAATAACATTAGTTTATGCCTATCTTCATACTGAGCCAACAGCTTTAAGGAGATGGAACTGTGTTAGTGTATAATTTCTGGTAGAAGATGCAGAAATGATGGACAAATCAGATGCAAGATTACTTGTATCTGCAAATAGGACAGATTTTCTTCATAAATTGCAGATACAATTCTCTTTCACCATCAACATAAATGATCAAATTTTAGGTCAACAAGGAAAGTTTTAAATGCACCCTTGACTATGGATAAATTACCTTAGTAGATGAAGTAGAAAGTGTTATCATGCAAATAATTCAGTTCTGTGCTGGAAGTGTGGTTAATATATTTAATAAAGAGAAAGGTATTTTGCCAGTAAACATAGAAGAAAACAAACATTCCTATACAAACCCCTCTGAAAATTCACATCTTAACAGAATGTCAAAAATGTATTATTTTCTCTTCTCCAGGGATTAGCATGCAGTTTTGCTGCTGAACTAGTAAAAATACAAAACCACTTAAGTTTTAAATGCACAATTATTTATTAAATTCTGTGATAAAGTATATTGTTAATCTCAAATTAAAGCAGTACTTGTTTAGATTGTGGTTTACCACTTCAGTTTCAGTATGAATTGTTCAAAGTAAAGTGCAATTACATATTGTAAGACTCTCCTCACCCTGTGATTATGTCATATGACTTTGTGAAATAATCTAGGCTGTTTAGGACAAAATAGATTTTAGCATGAATGAACCCTTTGTTCCTAGATGCAAATGGGAACAAAGACTTTAAATGACAGCTATTCTTACTGAGGAATGTCAGTGTTGTGGGTTTTTTTAAAACTATAAAGCTTCCTTCTGTTCATATATTAAAAAGAATAAATGTTTACAGATTGCACTGTCAACTGTAGCATGCTCTTGTTGGGTTAGCTAAGACCATCAGAACTACAGCAACTATTTTTGTTATGTAAACCATGAGCTAGAGTAAGATGGTTGCTCTTAGCTTTGTAATATGCAAAAACTGAAGTTGCCAACAAATTATAAAGATGGTTTCAAGAGTACAGTATGTAGCTTCCCTGGTAACTGCTCCATTCCACTTCCATCAGGGCTGGCTTCCCCAGAACAAATTCATCTAGGCAACACAATATTTTGTAGATGCAGGCAGAAAGCATGAATAATTATCCAAAACAGTAGTATCCATATATGCATGAATAAAGAAGTTTTCAATGCTAATTATTTCCACAGTCATATGACCAGTTTAACTAGTCACAGTTAAGGATTTTTATGTTCATGTTTAAATATATATACAGAGAAGAAAGCACAGCTTGCCATGCCTATACCATTAGTGCCATAAGAGAGACCTCCAGGGCTATCAAGATGGTTTTGGAGCTTGTGTGGCAGTAAAAATTCCTAAGCCTCCTACTATAATCCTCCTTTATCCACTCTGTCCCTCTGATTTCAGTATATCCATCTCATAGTTCAGTTTTATTTTCTTTTACTGTGCAATTTTTAATTCTCTCTAGTCTTTATCTTTACCACTTGCCTTCCTCCTGGTAAAACTGACAAGCATATTGTGCTGGTACCAACAGCCTGCAACAAGTAGGAGTGTTTTGCAGTCACAGGACTGCATCTTAGGTAAGTTTTTCACATCTACATTGAACTCCATAATCTCCACAGGAATGTCACATAGAGAAGGCAGCCTGCTTAGGCTATTGTTTCGCAGCAGAGCCATCCACATCTTCATTATCAATGTACCCCTTATTATGTAAGTTTTAGAACTAAATTACTATGCAAGTATGGCAGCAACCAACAAAGCAATATTCCTATCTCCCCACTCAGCAGCCCTGGAGATCATTCTAACACACAGCCTGAAAGTGATAACAATTTATATGCAGAGATTTTCATAAGTCACTTATTCTATTTACTATGTATTAATTTACAAAGGATTCACTATACATTCATGATATGTTCAAATTTGTGTGCAATGGATCTGTTTAACAGATTTATTATTGTTTACAGAACACACACAAGATTTTCCAAGCAGAATAGTTACAATGGTGTTTTTGCTACTAACTACAATATATCTTTTGAGTTCTATAAACACATGCCTTCTTTAAGTCAGGAATGCTCTTCAGTGCTCCCACTGAAAGATCTGCTCCGGACATGATTTCTCAGTTGCTCTATAAGCTCTGGATTCTGTTGCTGTATCTGTTGTGCAAACTGTTGTCCCCTGTGTTGAACAGTTTTACATAAATCAACAACTTAAAAACATCTGCTAAGCACGATTCATAAAAAAGCAGAATGCCTTGTAAGAACTGAAAGCTGATATACTTAAAATTAACCTTAAGAGAAAATCATGGAAATAAGATAATATTCATAAAATTACAGATTTTTTTTTAGTTGGGTTCTCTTTTTAGTGACAACTGGGCAATAAGGTCCATGGAAATTATTTTAAAAACCTGTTTTCTATCACTGGTGAGCAGCTACCAGTAACTTACCACTGCATACCTGTACTGGGAAATGAAGCTACTTTTGAATGGCTGCACTCCTTTTTCAAAGAGAAAACCTAGTCAGCAAATAATAATAGGAACTTGTTCTTCTGGTCAAAGGCAATCTCCTGAGAGTTTCACAGAGAGATTCTGGCATCTCCCTTGTGGACACGAAGTGGCATGGTCTGCACCAGGACTATCTAATTGGCTGCCTGTAGACCACATGTGGCTCACAAGGGGTTAAAATGAAGCCCAACTGCTGCAGCAGCAACCAGGGTCTTGAGGCTCCCCCTCTGTCCTCTGGCTTTCACTACATGCCACCACCCCAGGGGGCAAGACAGGGTGGGACAGGACAGTCCATGCCAGGAAGCACTTTTGTGGCATGGTGCAGCAGTAGACTTCACAGCCAGGCAGCTGAAGGTGAGGTAGGGTAACCAGGTGTGTGGGGGTAGCCCCCATGGCATGCAGACCCTGCTGGTGTGGCCTGTGCAACCCCAGGTGCTTAGAAGTTGGACATCCCTACTCTACCCTATGCTTGTAACATCCAGTTTCACACACAAGTTTCATTTGACCAAATAACACTGATCTGAATCAACCAGGGATATATCACTAAGGAGTTGAAAATAACATGTAAAAACAGATATGACACCTGCTTGCTGGAACAAGCACTTAGACAAAATCTGCTTCTTCATTTTGTCCAAGTAGCAGCAGTTTACTAGGGCTCCTTTAATTTGATGAGCATTTGGCTAGAAAGTTCACCTTCTAAGGGGAACCTCCTTCTGCCAGAGTTATTCACACTTGCTGGTTGGAACAGGAATTAGTAAAATATACTCTTTGGCCGCACACCCAGGCCCCATCTAGATGTTACATTTATGCTGTGATTAATGGTGTTAATTATGGCATAAAAGGGAAGGGTATTACATACACATGTACCCAATTTAAAGCACTCCAAAATGGGAAACAAGCCATAACAATGTTCATAGTATATAGTGTAGAACATGTTTATAACTGGTTTGTATAGCACCTGAAATTTAACATGTGGCCAGGGCCAATCAGCCCTGGCCTGAAGCTGCAGGGATGGGGAGCTAAAGGGCTTCTCTGCAGGGGACTTTAAACCCCATGCCCAGCATGTCTGGCTGGGCTGCGAGGCATGGGGAATCAGAGGCTCCTGGCATGGAAGCCAAAGGGCTTCCCCGCAACTGGGGACTTCAAACCCCAAGGTTGGTGGAGCTCTTCCACCAGGAGCCTCTGATCCCTGAAGCCAGAGATGCTAGGCACAGGGTTTCAACAATAAGCTGATTGTCAGCGCCAAGTTCAAGACCCAGGGCTGTCCAACTGAGGCCAACAGTCAGCTGATTACAAGGGATCTTGGTTTTCCCTGATAAAGAGAATCACAAATTCTCTGATAAAATAACCCCAAATCCATGATTAAAATGAAAGGCCCCTCATTCCCCCCCACAGCCCCCCTGGCACCTGTCACTCCCCCCACTACAGCCCCTTAGCCCTACTAGTGCACCTCACCCTACCCCCCCACAGCCCTGCTGGTGCCCCCTGCCCCCCACCCATAGTCCCCTGCTGGAGGGTGCCCACAGATGCCAGGGCTATGGGGCCACAGACCCAGCTCCAAGCCCTCTGCTTCCAGGAGGAGGCAGCAGCTGCTGCTGCTGCAGTAGAACAGAGCCCAGCTCCCCCTCTCTGCAGGCTCGGGGGAAAGAGGGGTGCAGTGGGTGTGACAATGAGATCCCTGTACAGCCTAGTTCTGCCCTGCAGTGCTGGCTCTCACCCACTGGGCTGCAGAGGCCCTGGGGGAGGGCAGTAGGGCAGGAGCCTGAGCCCACACCTCAGTGGGCAGCCGGACCTTGCCCCATGCACACATCTGGGAGCCACATTTCCCCCATGCCCCCCAGGAGTGTGTGCAGCTGCGGGGAGCTGGCCCCACCCTGCCCCCTGGACAAGCCGCCTATAGCCCTGTCCCACTCCCTGCTGGGACCCTGCAACCAGAGTGCAGACCCATATCCCAGCCCCAGCCCTACCCAACTCCCTCCCTTCCTATGGGGGCCTCAAGCCCTCCCCACCAAGTACCTACAGGAGCTGTTCTCCAAGCCGCCTGGGGGGCATGTGCACATGGCGCTCCCTGCCTGACTGCCTTCCTCCCATTCATTCCCAGTCCTGTGCAGGCTGGAACTCTGCCAGCCTGCAGAAAGCTCATTCCAAAACTGCAAAATCTGCAGGTTTCTCTGTTAAAATGAGAAATCTGCATTTTCTTCAGGTCAAGGGAGAAATCCACATTTTTCTCGTTTTCTCAATGAGAAATGGAAAACCCAGATCCCTGCTAATTACATGCCCAGACAGTTCCAGGTAAAATGGGCCTGGGGCTGTCCAGGCCATGACTGTCAGCCCCAGGTGCGGGGCTGCAGCACCTGGCTTTCAACTTATTGGCGCAGAAGAAGTCTGGGATTATGATTCCAGGTTTCCGTTGCACTGGCAAGTAGTAACAGTTTAATTAGGATCTGACTCCCAATATTAAGATTGCACCTGTGGCATGGCATTAAATGACTGTGTGCCTGTGTCTCAAGGCTAATCTGGAATTGTCTGCCACTGTAGAATCAAACTGCATGCTTGTTAAGTGGTATTTTCCATCAATTATATTATATGTGGGCTATGCTGTGTGCTGGCTTTCAGCTGGACAATCAAACTCCAACAGGTTGGATTCTTACTGTAGTTGAGCTCAACTCTTCAGTTGGTTGAAGCAACAGCTCTCCCAATTTAAATGTGAGCAGGCTAAAAGCAGATTATTTTCAGTCAGGGGCCCCCAACTTTGGAACTACTTGCATGCCCAGAACTGAAAACATGCAACTTTGAGCAGAACCTGTTTATTTTCATAGCTTTTCCTCAACTAAGCAAGGCTTGAGGAAACAAGTCTTTAGCTGTGGGGAGCTCAGAACTTTTAGAGTAGGCTGATGAATTGCTATTCAAAAGAAAAAATGTACAAGGACCTAGGCATTTCAATAGAAACTTTTAATGAATTGGTCAAAAAAGAAATTGTGCAAAAAGTGAAACAACACCATTTAATTGTTCAAACTGAATCAAGTGTGCAAAGAACATAAGCAATGAGATAATGGAAAGTAAGACCTGCTATTTTCAGTTTTAATTTTCTAAGGTTATCAGACAAGTAAAGGGGAAAAACTAATAAGCAGCTGTCCGTTAGTACAGAGTACAGCTATAAATGCAAAGAAGTTAAAATGGTAGATACATCCAAATACTCACGCATGTATGAGGCTTGACAAGTCAGTTAGGCCACCTACACCTGCAGCAGGACCACCAATGGCATTTGACATCATCCCTGACATTCTGGAAGAGTTAACACTGCATTGGTCATCATACAAAATCATAAACCACAGTTCTTTGCTGAACTGTGGTAAAGAACGGGGGTGAGCAATACAGGAAGTTATTCTGTACTAGCTCTAATTACTGGGGTATGGCTGTAAAGTCAACAATAGCAAGAATGCTATGTAAAAGTTTTAGAAATATGTTGTTCTCTGCCTTAGTTTTGCTAACTCAGACACCAGTATCTCATTTTATATTCATACTTACAATTGTTGAACTTGAGGGTTCTGCATTAAGCTTGCTGCCTAGAACAGATAAGATGCATCTCAAGTTATAATGCAATGAGTATTTAGGTATCATTCTGGGAGACATTAGAAACATAATATACATGTGTTTTATTACAACACATTAGCAAAATTAAGATCAATAGATATAAAATCCTCAACAAAACTCATTATAGAGATGATGCAACAGGGAGCCAGAGGGTTCCTGTTACTTTAAGAGAATACAGCAGACCAAGATCACTGTGTGGGGCTGCAGCAGCAGGAGCACATGCTTTAATTAAAGGGGAAACTCCTGTGTGTGGCTGAGTAGCCACATGACAAAAAGGGGGTGGGGCTTCGAGGCATATAAACCCATGGCCTGAGCCACAATGGGCAGTCAGACCCTGCATGCTGAAGAGAGAGAAGCTCCTGCCAGTTCAGGCTGGTGAGGTGTTAGTGCTATAGTTCATGGCAGGCTCCCAGGGCAGAGAAAGCCAGAAAGTGGGAAGGTTGCCTGGCAGTGGTATGACCACCCAGAGGGGAGACTTTGAGTTTAAAGCAGTTACTTGATTTTTTGTTACATTTGTTTTAGACTGGAGGACTGGAGGCCACACAGGAGTGCCTGGGAGGCACTCCAGATTTTCACTCCTATCCAGGGCAGGTTCCAACCGAGAGGGCCAGGGCCTAAGCCCCAACAGAGAGGAAGGGGCTCTCCAGCTGAGAGGTCCATAGGCCCAAGCAGAGCAAGATGGGCCAAGGGCCAGACCAGGCTGAGACTCAGAAGATGAGCCAGAGGAAGTGGACCTAGGCTGGCAGTCAACAGCGAGGGTAACCAGCAAGCTGAAGCTAAGAGGGCTGAAGCCCATACAAGCTGATGTGTGGATCTAGAGTAATATCTGCAGGGCATGTGCATGGCTGTAGGGGCAGAAGGAGGCCTGAATAGCCCTTAAGGTGGTGCTCTGAGGCACTGACAGGGCAAGAAGGGTCCCCACTTAGGGTACTGAAGAAGAGTACTGGGGGTCAGTTGGGTATGGGAGGGACTCACTGGCCAAGGCAAGATACAGCTTGCCCAGGGACCCTACGGCAGCCTCCCTTCTACAGCAAGAAATAATTCCATCAAGGCATGGCAGACAAGAAGGGAAGATACCCCAGGGAGCTGAGGGAGGCAAGAGCCATGTGGCCACCAGGGGCATCACAGCTGCCCCTGCTACAAATGTACTTCAAGGATAAGAAGATAATATATTCCATCATACTACATTCAATGAATACAAGTTAAAATTCACTACTGCTGGCCAGGATAATTAACCATTAAAAATAGGAAGTGGGGTGGCATTAGAGACATGCAAGCCCAATGCCTTGGAAATGAAAACGTAAGATATCAGATACTTGAGGAATCATTCATTATTTTTTTAAAAATGAATTAAGCATTTTAAATTAATTATTTCTCAATACTAATTTTCAATCACCAAAGCTAAAGAAAGCTCAGAATCTTATCTATTATTTTCCTCAGCTTTCTGATAATAGTTCTCATCTCTAGAATCCTCCAGTTAAGAATTTGGGAAGGGTCTTTAGTTTTGGGGATGCCATTATTATGATAAGTAACAATATCACAGAAACAGCAGAAGCAGTCTTCTCTGGTGCAGATGTCTTCAATTTTTGCACTGCATCTAATTTTTGTGAAGCGAGTCCTACAAAAATTTATTTTGGGAAACCATTTTAAGAACAGTCATTGAGTCACACACTTATTCCTTGATCTCACCTAGTCAACTGAATGTATGGCATTTTCATCATCATTAAACGGTTTTACCAATTATTGTTTCCTCAGAAAGCATCTCAAAGGTAAATTAGCCATTTTCTCTATTTACAGTTGGGAACACAAGATCATATTCAGTGCAACTGGATGGCAATGAGGTTGCACTTGCTTAGATCAGTACTAAGTTTGGTCCAAAAGGTTAAGGGGCTCAAAAAGGACCTTAAGTAAGTTACTCAAGGCCAGATAGGGGTCTACTGAACTCGAGGTAGATGCCAGCCAATTTCACAGACAGATCCTGGGGCCAACAGCCATTTTTGCAAGCCAAGCACAGCACCGTGCCCCACCCCCCATATGTCTCCGACTGGCTGAAGGGTCCCAATAGTCCCACCCCTCCCCACGGATTGCCAGATGGCCCCAAACTGCCACTTCGATTATAACACGTCAATTAATAGCTTCCACGGGCTTAATCCCCTGATTAATCCCACAGAAGCCATTAATCAATATGTTATTAAACACTCAGAGTGGCTGCTAATGGCTTCTGTAGGCTTGATTAGAGGATAAGCCTGCAGAAGCCATTAATGTCCACTTAAATTGCTTAATAATGCAACTATTAATAGCTTCCATGGGTTTAATTAAGGGATTAAGCCTGCAGAAGCCATTAATTGACACATTAAGCAATCCAAGCACTCGATAAAGGTGTAAAATGAAAGATCTTATGAAAATAAAGCTATGCGCAACATGATTTGTAACTAATAACAACTATATATACTTTATTAAAGGCTATTATAAAGAGAAGCTTACTGAAACAATGCTAATATTGAGACAGGCAGTTCACGCTAGGCACATATACACCTGACGCTACATCACTGTAGCAGCGCACTTCGGCGACGTAGTATTCATGGGCAAAACCCGTGATGCCACAGCTATGTTGCTGTAGCAATGTACTCCCCCATTACAGTGCACTGCTACAGCAACATAATGCCTAAAAATAACTGTGCATGGCACGGTGCACACAGCACAGTACCAGCTGTTACTACACCATCTGTTAGTACTTCCAGAAGGAAGTACTAAATGATGGCACTAACAATAGCGCCATAGCAGCACATGTAGACATGCCTGCTAGGTATTAAATGCAAGCATGCTGCACTCAGCCACAGTCGCAAGACATTCTCTGTCTCCATGGAATGAACCCGTGCCCATACACGGAGATGGCATGCTCAGCATCCAAATTCACTGAAATGGTGAAGCATATTTTTGCCAGGGCATAGAGATGAGGAAAGCGGTCACAGAGTCCCAAAACACAAACACAAGCATTTGGCACTCTTTGACAAACTTCATGTAAGCAGCATGTTCACTGTAATGTTCCTTCCCCCATCCCAAGATTGCTTTCAGTGGTTGAGGGTCACAACTCAGCAAAGGCACCTGGTTGGGGTCTAAAATGTGAACAGCACTAAAGAAAGAGGCAGCTGGTTATTTGAACCACGGTGGCAGTGATGGATCATACCTGTAGTACTGGTTCAGTTTTATAGCTATTGCCTGGAACAGGTCCCTTCTGCATTGGTTTTCACAAGGATAGCTTGATAATTCCTGTGATACCCTTTGTCCCAGTTTATCAAATCCATCAGCTTGTTGTATGTATGATGGATCACAGCCTGCCTAGCCTTCAAATCACATCAGGAGCTCCATGAACTGGGTGGCAATGTCAATCTCAAATGTTACTTGAACTTGAATGTCACCTCACCCTAAGAGATCGCAAAGCTTAAGCATGCAATGTATGCTGGGTGCAATTTCCAGCTCCTCATTCACAAACTGCTGGTAGTGCTGCATTTGCTTGGCATGGTAACAGAGCGCACTGAACCAGGAATTCCACTATGGGAGCACAGGCTCTGATACCAGTGGCCCAGTGCCATGAGTCTCCTCCCCACTTTGACTGGTGATGGAGTCCCTGTACTGGACCTTATTGCCTGTACAGTGCTTAAAGGCTTTCTTGAAAGAAGATACTAGCCTATTCACATTGGGGAACTGTGTACATCAGGTGTCACTTACTAGGGACAGAATGTGCACATTTCAGGTGACATGAACAGTGTTGGGCAGCATTCCTTGGACCACATCGGAGAAACCCTTGCACATGTACATGGCATTAATCAGACAGGAAGACTGAGATCTTGTTAAAAATGCTAGCCATAGCTGACAATTACCTACACAATGAGAGACAGTAGAAAAAATGACAAATGTAAGGTGGACCAGCTCACTGAAATACAGGCAGATCCTGGGCTGTCCACCTCCCTGGTACAAATAAAATGTGCAGCACAGTTATCTGGAGGGTTGGTGGCTTCATCAGCCACAATGGAAAAGGAATCAAAGTCTGCCACGTCAGCCTTCATGGACTGGACATGTAAAGCAATCACTGCAGGGAGACAGTGCTGGAACATGGAAAACTGCAAGTATTTGGCACATTTTGTTTCAGATAGTCCTTTAACTTCAGGTGATCAAGTTTCTCCAGAGGGATGTTTTTGGCCACTGTGAGAGCCTCCACAAACAAAAATGCCACCTCTTGGTTTGCAAAGCTGCTTTCCATAATCCTTTTAAACAGGGAGGACACAGTCATTTGCTTCTTGCTCTGACTTTCAGCCTCTGCAACAGCGTTCCACTTCATGCGTGCCTCAGACTTCAATGACAATCTATACTGGTTTTCCTAGACACATCCAGAGTTGCACTGCAGGAAATATAGAAGATTCTGCCTTCATCTGCATGGAAGGTCCCTGCAGGATACTGTCTTGCATGGCCCAGTGCTGAAATGTATTTGGCCATCTTAGAGGATTTCTTAGAGTTCACCCCCGCTCCTCCTCAGGTGGCAGCATGTATGCAGTAGCAGCATGCCTGTGGACACATTAAAAGCTGGCACCAAAACCTTCCCGCTTCCCTGGCTGGCCCTGGACTGAGCCTAAGTCAGAGGCACAGCCTCCGATTTGCTCTCTCTCCCCACCTCTCCCTCCCACTGTGCTTCAGGATGCCAGAGCTTTTTGCCCTTCTCTGTTCTTGCAGCTTTTTTTTTTTGTTTTTTTCTACCCCTCAACAAGCCTTTTTTACAGAACCCACCTGAAACTGGTTTTTGCAAAAATTCCAAAAAAATCACAATTTCAGTAAGTCCCTACAGTGAGAGAAAGTAAGTAACAAAACTCAGGAGTTGCTGGCAACTAAATGCACATTCACCAGATTTGACTAGAAAGCCTCTGGAAACATTACAAAAAAATATATTTCCTGTAGCTAGCTACATATTGAAGAGTAAGTACATTTATAACTCAAAACAGATTGGGACTCTGTACAATGCACTTGATCAATTAAGTCATATGCTGAGTTCCAGAACCACCTACTTCTTCTTGCAGACTATATGTAACCTATAAAACTGCAACAGGTGACTTTCTGGCTCCTGTCACAAGCTTGGTTATTTCACATCTTATGGCTAAGTGTTTCAGAGCTCACTGAGGACCTTCTTAGCATGCAGATATTTAAGTGTAATTTACTGTGCTCTATAGCAGAGAACAGGGTTGTCAACTATCAATAAGTTTACTGAATGTCAGTTCAAAAAAAAAAAAAAAAAAAAAAAAAAGGCTAAAATGACACAGTAAATTCCATTAAAAAACCCATTAACTGTCAATATAAACACTAAGCAGCTGCAGCTTCATTGAACCCCTGCAGACAGAGCAGAATAGCGCCACCTATTGTCTAAGCAGAAATGCAACACCCTGAAGGGAGTCTTCTCTCACCCATGTATTGCTGCTGTGTCCCAGGCTGCCTGTAATACTGCTGGGTCACAGGTAGAGTTCTTTAAGGATCTGTAACAGGACAGGGGGAGAGCACAGCTGGCAGGGGTAAGACATGTGCGTGGGCCAGGTATGGCAGCATGATGCAAGGTACAGTCAGGGTATCAGGGTGTGGGGGTCTCTGGGAGAGTGGGAGAAAGATGGGGCCACGCAGTGTAAAGCCACTGCTGCAGTCAATCAGGGTTGCCAACCAAAGAGTTTTTTTACTGCAAACTTTTAATCGACAACCAAACTTTTTTACTATGGTTGATATTAAACCCCTGAATTTAAACCCAGCCCTTCTAATTGGGGCCTAGCAGAAGAGTTACATTTACATTATGTAAAACATATATCAGTAAACATGTGTCAGTAAAAAGCTTGCAGATTGTCTGTAAAAAAGAAAAAAAAAGAAATTTCGTGTGTTGGCAGCCCTAGCAGAAAACCCGTCAGTGCTGCTGAAATCTACCAGATGGAATTCTTTAAAAAAGTAGGAGGGCTTCCTTCAAATGCCATCTTGAAAGAAGACAAGGTTCTTTGGGTGAATATGCTATCTTTTATTAGACCAACTTAAAAAGTTGGAAAAAATTTTTTAGCAAGCTTATAGTTTCATAGTAGCTAGGGTCAGGAGGGACCTGAACAGATCAGCTAGCCTGCCCCCCT